GATACTCTGGGAGGCAGGGCTCAATGCAAACTCCATTTGGCCAGCACAGTTCCAGTTCTGCCTGCCCAGTGTGCTGGGTGCCATGGTCAGGGGGCAATGAGGGGAGGGTGGTTGATAGAGAGTGTAAGGCTCAGTGGGCAGTCAGAGGATGGGGGATTCTTTGATTCCCTGACAGCTCTGTGGAACAGGTCAGCAGTGCAAGAGGCAGGTTAGTAGCAGGTGACCAGATCACGTGACTGTGGAACATCCCAGTATTCATGAGTCAGTAGCAGGATGGACTTTCACAGGGAGGAATGGACATTTTGAAACCATTTCACCTCCCCTTGGAGGCTCCATCCCTGTCTGGCTTTTCTATTATAACACCTGAAGTGTTAGCAGTGGGTGTCACCTGAAGTAACATAGCTGCACTAAAGATACTTTAGAGTGGTAGCCCTAATATTCTGTGACTGTAAAAACAATGAGCAGACTTATGGCACCTTAGAAAATAACAAATGTATTAGGTCATGAGCTTTCCTATGAATTGGAGTGAAAATTACAGAGTCTGGGGTATATATAACATCAAAAGAAGTTACCTGTCAATTATAGACCAGTTTTAATGAAGCTGATTAAGTCAGGGTGGATAAGTCCCATTCACAGCATTTGATGTTGAAATGTAACTATCAAAAGCAGGGAAATTTCCTTTTTGTAGTTCATTAACCAGTTCAAATCTTAATTCAAGCATAAGTTCATAGTATTGAACTTGTACATAAACTCCAATTCAGCTGTTTCTCTCTGTAGCCAGGGGTTAACTTTATCCCTCAGGAAACAGGGAGCCATCAATAATGTAGATATGAACCATACTGGACAGCGCAACATTTTGGCACCTGAGGTGGGGAGCTCAAATGACGCCCCCATGCCCTCTCGCTTGGGCCAAAACTTTGAAAGGTCTCAATTCTGCCTTCTTCCTGTTCTACTCCTCTCATGGTACTGCTCTGTTACCTACCCCAATAAAGGAGAACTAACAACTTAAAATGCCTTGATCAAAAATTTTAAGTAACACTGAACTTTCAGAGCAGAAAGAATACATATGCACCAGCAGCAGACACAATTTGCTACAGTCTGGCACCTGGGGCAGCCACTTCAGTTCTCCTCATGGTAAGGCCAGCCCTGGTTCAGATGTCCTTAGATACCATGGCATAAGGAAAAGCCTCTCCTAAGTATCAAGGGCAGAACAAGGGCAGTGCATGGTGCCTGGGTCTACAAGGAGTCTTTCACATATGAAGCAAATGTGGGTCAGTTTCTTTTGAAATGACAATATCCAGGCCACATTTGAAAATTGTGAGCCTGTGAATGATGGTATTAACCCAGGCCAAAGCCTCGCCAAGAGACACCTGCTGAGTAGAAAGAACCCTTTCCTGCACACACACAGACCCCTCCAGCTTCTTCCTTGTACATGCCTGGGGTGTTACAGGAAGGGCCTGGGCCCTTGATCTACCTGAGTGTAAAATATTTACACAGAAGGGGAGAATTAAGTCAGCCACATGCATAAAGTGAAAGATGGGAATTATAGGTAATGTCTCCTTCCCCTCCAGAGAGTCGGGAGAATAAAATGTGATTTCAAATGCAGCTGGATTTTCAATATGGCTACATCTTCACTGGCCACAATTTCCGGAAAAGCCATGCAAATCAGGTAAGTCAGGATAGGGAAATCCGCGGGGGATTTAAATTTAAATAACCCCCGCGGATTTAAATAAACATTTCCGCCGCTTTTTGTCCGGCTTGGGGAAAAGTAGGAATAAGAGATCCTCCGGAAAAGGGCTTTATTCCGGACGATCGCGCCAGTCTAGACGCTTTTTTTCCGGCTTGGGGACAAGCCAGAAAAAAAGCGGCGGACATGTTTATTTAAATCCGCGGGGATATTTAAATTTCCGGCTTTTCCCCAAGCCGGAAAAAAAGCGGCGGACATGTTTATTTAAATCTGCGGGGGATATTTAAATCCCCTGCAGATTTCCCTATCCTGACTTACCTGATTTGCATGGCTTTTCCGGAAATTGTGGCCAGTGTAGACGTAGCCTATATGTTTCTGCACAAGGGTGACATATGGTTCTGTGCTCACTGGGCAGCAGGGGGAGCTGTCTCCCTTCATTTGCAGTGTGAATTGTTTCTATTTCCATAGGGAAGCTGTTCAATACAAATTTGTGCATAAGAATCTGGTGCACAGACCATGGGGTTTGAGGAGCTGGGTCCTTTCAGATCCCACATCCAGACTGAGTGGTGGGGAGCTGTGCTCACTGGGCAGCAGGGGGAGCTGTCTCCCTTCATTTGCAGTGTGAATTGTTTCTATTTCCATAGGGAAGCTGTTCAATACAAATTTGTGCATAAGAATCTGGTGCACAGACCATGGGGTTTGAGGAGCTGGGTCCTTTCAGATCCCACATCCAGACTGAGTGGTGGGGAGGGAGCGACAGGAGATCTGAGGCACCCAAGGAACTAGTTTAAGTTGTAGGTTTAGGAGCACTTCGGAAGAGAATTGCATGGTGAGTATTATTGGTAAAGTGTTTTTCTATTTTATATAATGTAACTGACATTCCATTTCATGCTGAACTTCTCTGCAAGAGGCAGGGAAGGCCTTCACCGCAGGCTGCATCACTGTTATTATTACATATCTGTGTTGCTGTAGCCGGGGTAGACCAGGTCACAACCAGGCCCTCATTGTGTTGAGCTCTGTACAAACACAGAAGACAAAGGTTCCGCTAAGGAGCCTTCAATCTAAGGCTGTGTCTAGACTGGCCAGTTTTTCTGGAAAATCAGCTGCTTTTCCAGAAAAACTTGCCAGCTGTCTACACTGGCCGCTTGAATTTCCACAAAAGCACTGACTACCTACTGTAAGAAATCAGTGCTTTTTGTGGAAATACTATGCTGCTCCCATTCGGGCAAAAGTCCCTTTTGAGCAAAACTTGCACAAAAGGGCCAGTGTAGACAGCTGAGATTTGTTTTGTGCAAAAAAGCCCCGATGGCGAAAATGGCGATCGGGGCTTTTTTGCGGAAAAGCGCGTCTAGATTGGCCACTGATGCTTTTCCGCAAAAAGTACTTTTGCGGAAAAGCATCCGTGCCAATCTAGACGCTCTTTTCCAAAATTCTTTTAACGGAAAACTTTTCCGTTAAAAGCATTTGCGGAAGATCATGCCAGTCTAGACGTAGCCTAAGTGTAAAACCAGATACAACAGGTGGTGACAGAGTAGCCTGTGGAGGAGCAGGAGCCTTCAGCTTACCCATGGTCTCACTGCTGTCAGTTTGTTCGTAGGCATCATGGCAAAGGAAATTTGGAAGGAGGGAAATGAGTTTGTTATAGGTATGTTTACAGGAGGTGTATCCAAGAGAGAGGAGCACAGCGAGGAAGCTGGCCCTGGTAGCAGTGACTCCTCTTTGTGTGCATGTGTTATAACATGTTTGTATGCACAGGAGTGCAAAGCTCTTCCACTGTTCTCCACATGGTCAGATGTGCTGCCTAAACCACCCTTCAGCCCAGTGATGGCCACTCAGGGTGTGTCTAGACTACAGGGTTTTGTCGACAAAAGTGGACTTTTGTCGAAAAAACTATACCTGCGTCCACACTGCCTTTGAGTTATGTCAACATAACGTCGACAAAACTCAGCAGTTTTGTCGAAGTATGTAAACCTCATTCTACGAGGAATAACACCTTTTGTCGAGAGTTCTGTCGACAGAAGGCGTTATTGCATCTTCACTGTCCTTTTTGTCTACACTGTGATGTCGACAAAGCGGCTTGCTTTGTCAACAGAACTGGATGTAGTCTAGATGCTCTTTGTCGACAGAAGCTTTGTCAGCAGTATCTGTCGACATAACTTCTGTCGACAAAAGCCTGTAGTCTAGACATACCAATAGATATTACATGGAATAAACAGGCTGTGTCTACACTGGCTGCGTGTACTTGCGCAATTAAACTGACGTTCTAATGTATGAAATCAGGGCTTTTTGCATCAGAACTCTGACGCTCCCACTCGGAAATAAGTCCTTTTGCGCAATTGTTCTTGCGCAAGAGGCCAGTGTAGACAGGCAACATGAATTTCTTCCTCAAGAAAGCCCTATGGTTCAAATGGCCATCAGTGCTTTCTTGCGCAAGAGAGTGTCTACACTGGCATGGCTGCTCTTGTGCAAAAGCACATCTCTTGTGCAAAAGCACATGCCAGTGTAGATGCTCTCTTCTGAGTGTAGACGTAGCCACACTGTAAAATAACTGTTATGTAGATCGGGGTGGGGAAACTTTGGGGGGGGGAGCACTGACCAACAGAAAAATCAGTCAGGGGCTGCATACACGTGAGAAGAGAGACAAACGTGAGAAGAGAAAAAAATGAACAAAGAAACTCTGTCGACAAAAGGCGTTATTCCTCGTAGAATGAGATTTACAGCCGTCAACAATACTGCTGAGTTCTGTCAAAGTTATGTCGACAGAACTCAGTGGCCGTGTAGACGCAGGTATAGTTTTATCGACAAAAGTAGACTTTTGTTGACAAAACCCTGTAGTCTAGACACACCCTATGTGTCCCTCCATGCACAGAGTCTTTGGGCAGCAGCTACAACTAAGACAAAGTAGTGTGGCCAGATTCACTCTTCTACATGCGTAGTTTGTAAACATGTGATTCCCCATCACGCAAAATGAACATCTCTCCAAGGTCTGGCTCCCTATGCTGGCAGCTAGAGAGAATGTGCCAGTCTGTGATAGCATCATCTGATTGTGTTAAATATTGTTCAAGGTGAATGTAAGGATCCCTTATAAAAATAATAGCAGCAAAAACCTGTTTCAAATTCAAACTTAAAATGGAAAATGAATAATTTTATGGGGATTACTTTAAAAAATCTTATTGTGGGGAAAAGGCTAATTTGAGGCTAAATTTGACACATAAGCATCTATGTACTTGTTCAAATTCAGGACTTAGATTCTGAAAATGAGCACGGGGCAGGGGGGTTTAAGAGAGAATTGGAGGGTCCCAGCACAGACCCACTTGCCTCAGGAAGCCGAGCTCGTCTGACTTCCCATCATGGCCCGGGCCCCCCTGCTCCTCGCCCTGCTCACTTACTGCTCAGGTGCGGGGTTGTTGGCTGCACTGACACAACATGGAGGCCACCTGCAGGTGAGGAGGTTTGTGTGTGAGGAGCCGGAGTCCTTGTGCTGAGTTTGTTTGTTCCGTTGCTTTCAGGGGTCAGGTCACAGCCTGTGGTGACTCAGGAGCCCTCCATGTCGGTGACCCCAGGAGGGGCCGTCACGCTGTCCTGCAGCCTGAGCACTGGAGCCATCACCAGCGGCAACTATCCTGGCTGGTTCCAGCAGAAACCTGGATCAGCTCCTCGGTTGCTTATATACAGCACCAATAACAGACCCTCCGGGATCCCTGCCCGTTTCTCTGGAGCCATATCCAGTAATGATGCTGCCCTGACCATCACCGGTGTGCAGGCAGAGGACGAGGCTGACTATTACTGTATTATATGGACTGGTAGTGCTCTGCACAGTGATCCAGTCAGAGGGGGAAGTGAGACAAAAACCTCCAGCCTAGGAGCTGCACAGTTTGATTTCTGCCTGAATCAGATGATACAAAGTTTGTTCTCTTTTAAAAATTTTAGCCTGCAGGCTCTGCCATTAGCAGGGGGCACTGCTCCACCCACTCCCCATTCACTCTTCCTGGGGGAGATGTCCCTTGATGGTCTTTGCTGGGCCTCTGTACAGGGAGAAGCTTATAGCTCCTTGTGTTGCAGATCCACCACTAGCTGCTTTAGACTAGGAGCAAATGGCCAAGAGTCTTTCTCTGGTTCATTTCAACTGGATAGTGTAGAGCCAGGAAAGTTCTCCTCTGTAGCAAGGCCATTGCCCCAGTTACACAGAGCTACAACCAGATCCACAATACCTGCTCTGTTATAGCAGCCTAAGCAGTGGTCCTGGGGTCAGCTAGCGATTCTCTGGGTCCTAGGAAAGCTTCAGCAATAGTTAGTGCTTAATGTGCAGGCCATCTATTAGGGTATGTCCAGACTACATTCCTCTGCTGGCAGAGGCACGTAAATTAGACTACCTGACATAGTCAATAAAGCGGGGATTTAAATATCCCCCACTTCATTAAAATAGAAACGGCCACCGCGCTGTGCCGGCTCAGCTGATGTGGTAGTCAAGACACAGATTGGTCGACGAGGAAAGCCTTTGCCGACCAATCCCTTATGCCTCGTGAAACGTTGAGCCAATGATCAGCTGAGCCGGCACAGCGCGGTGGCCGTTTCTATTTTAATGAAGTGGGGGATATTTAAATCCCCACTTTATTGATTTTGTGGGGTAGTCTAATATAAAAGCCTCTGCCAGCAGAGCCATGCAGTCCAGACATACCCTAACCGTGCCATGGGCAGGGCCGGCGCAAGGTATACTGGCGCCCCCAGCACGGCCGCAAGGCACTGCCCCCGGGCGCAGGCCCCTCCCCCCCAAGGCACACGGTGCATGCGCGACCCAGCTATGGCTGCTGGCGTGAAGACCCAACGGTGCAAGTGCGGCCCAGTCCAGCCTGGCTGTTGCTGCTGGCGTGCACGCTGGGCCGTGTAGGCCCTGGCACCGCGGGGATGCGAGTGGGCCAGAGCTGCAGGAGCCGGACACATGGCACCTGATGACGCTGCCATCAGGCGCCTCCCATCAGTTGGTGCCCTGGGCAGCTGCCTGGTTCGCCCATGCCTCCGTCCGGCCCTCGCTATGCGGTATATGGCAGCAGGGAAGTGTCTCATAGTAACACACCTGATAGTGAGGTGTGATGGAAACATTCCCTGAGCAGATCGCATCCTCCCCTGCCTGCACCTGAACAGTAATAGGGTACGTCTACACTACAGCGCTAATTCGAACTAACTTAGTTCGAATTAGTTAATTCGAACTAAGCTAATTCAAACTAGCGCATCTAGAACTAAAAACTAGTTCGAATTAGCATTTTGCTAATTCGAACTAGTGCATCCACACTGATTGGATGCAGGGGTGCATTTAAGGGCGGCTGAAACCGGTTCCGGCAGGGCATCAGGTCAGTAGTTGCTTTGTGTGGCTGCTGTCTCAGGCTATCTGAGGCTCATGCTTTGAGACCTCCCTGGACAGCCGGTTCTCAGTTTTTCCGCTTGCTTGCCTACCTTGCCGAGGGACAGCAAAGTGTTTTTCTCTGTACCCATCTGTGTCGGTGCTTCCCTTCGGGGCCGCCGCCACAGGTGGCAACATAGAGCCAGAGCTCGCCCTGCACTTTCTGGTGCAGTTTATGGACTTGCTGCTGCAAGCCTGCCAGCAATGGCTGGAGGCTGCCTGGTTTCACCTGGTGCACGTCAGCCCCCTGCCCCTCCACCTGGCCACCCTGGGGGCCATGGAGCAGCTGCGGCGGGT